TTTATCTTATACAGACATTTAAAAGTCAGGTAGTGCAAAGGAAAACCTCTGGGATGATGAAATTTTTGGTACTTGGTAGCCCTTCAAATTTCTCTAAGTATATGTAAGGCTAGCTTTGCTTGTTGGTCTTGAGAATTTGTGCTTTTGGTGACACATGGGAGTGGGAGACGGATCTGAGTTGATGCCATGCCTGACACCTGATCTCCCTTCCCCTAGGTAGGAAGAAGTGAATTTATGGTTTCTTGCTTCTCTTCCATTTCTATTTGCCAATGGGAACTCTCTTCTCTGGTTTCTTTCTCCAGGAAAACCTATAGTCCTAAATGACCAAAATAGCTCTTGGTGTCAGCTTAATGTCTGATTTTAATGCCATTGCCTTGAGAAAAACAATTTCTGGCTTGTAAAATATGAGTAAATGAGAGAGCTACTGCAGATCAGTGGAGTGGTGGGTGTTGGGGGGACCTCGGCATGACTGAAGGCCATTTGTGCATTGTAAAATTTTTGTTGTTGTTACTGAATGTCTAAGCCTAAAAGTTACTCAGAAGCAGTCCCAGGCCGGGCATAGTAGCTCATGCCTATAAAGCCAGCACTTTGAGAGGTGAAGGAGGGCAGATCATGGGGTCAGGAGTTTGAGACCAGATTGACCAACATGGTGAAACCCCATCTCTACTAAAAATACAAAAATTAGCTGGGCATGGTGGCACGTGTCTGTAATCCCAGCTACTTGGGAGGCTGAGACAGGAGAATCACTTGAACCCGGGAGGCGGAGGTTGCAGTGAGCTGAGATTATACCACTGCACTCCAGCCTGGGTGACAGAGCGAGACTCTGTCTCATAAAAAAGAAAAGGAGCCATCCCAGTATTCAGAACTTGTTATGAGCTGCTACCTAGTGTATCAAATGCACACATTCCACCGGTTTCCATTGGTTCCATTGTTTTCTATCCATTTTTTTTTTTGTTGTTGTTAATGATTTTTGCAGTAGTTTCTGGGAAACCTGAAGGCAAAAAAAAAAAAAAAAAAAAAAAGGCAAACTCATTATTACTCCAAGAAAAACACCTCAACTTGTGAAAACAGCTTAGTGAAATTATCTTCTTACAACTAGACCACAGGATAAATACTTTTGAAATTTTGTAGGTTGACTTCAGCTCTGTGTACCTTACTTAAAATCAATTTTGTGGTAATTTATTTATAATCACTTAGTTATCAATAGAATTTGTTTTTAATTTGAGATGACTACTTTCTTACACTCCCATTTATTTAACAATTGAAGATAGGAGGCCCTAAGTAGTTAAACGGCTTACCAAAAGACACATAGCTGGTTTGTGTTTGGTGGAGAGGCTGGGAACCAGAGGGCTGTGTTTGGAGTTTTCCACCCTATATCACCTGGCCTGTGACACCAGGTCTTGGGTGACTACATAACTTTCTACCACTTCCACCAGATTCTTGTTTTTCCCTAATTTTATGTTATTAATAGCTTCTTGGACTAATTCTGCCATATACTGTGAGTGACTCAAATTGATAACACTATTTTATTCAGAAGAATTCCTAGACATAATGCCTTGTTGAATAATTTTTTGAAGAAATAATTTGCTCTCATATTTAATAATTTGCAATAAAACAGGTGGAAAACTGTCCTGTGAAGATATTCCATGCCACCCTCTCACTCACTCAGCTACCCAATTCACCTCCCTGCGGGCTACCTGTGTTACTAGATTCTTGTGTAGCTTTGCAAATGTATGTCATGACTATACAAGGAAACAGATTCTGTATATTCTTTTATTGCCCTTTTTTAGTAACAACTTTTATTGTGACAATGAAGCACTCCAATGTCAATGGCTTATACCAAGGCACTTTTACTCATGGGTCTGTGGATTGACTGTGGCTCGGCGGGCTCCAGTGGGAATCAGCTGGGCTCAGCTGTGTTCAAGTCAGGTCTACTCCACCTGTTTTTTCCAGGATCCCAACTGATGGAGCAGCAGCTACGTGGTCATGCTCATCTCATAACAGATGGTGAGAGTGCCCTAGGGACTAGCAAACACACATGCCACTTCTAAATCCTTACTTTGCAATTAGCACACTCTCATTTCTACTGGCGTTCATTGCTTAAAGCAGGTCACATGGCCCAGTCAAGAGTTAATGGGGTAGAGAAGCGTATTCCTCCCACAGTGTAGTTGGGGGTGTGGGTATTTGATGGCTAATGATGCTTATTATTAACTTAATATGGGCTCACAAACTATAAACTGTATTTTAATTTAATATATCTTGGAGATATTTGTATGTTAGTATATAAACACTAAAATTTTTTTTTACACTTAAAATTTTTAAAAATAACTCTATGGTATTTCATTTTATGGATGTCTACTATATAACCAATCAGTTCTCTATTGATGGACATTCTGATCATTTCTAGCACTTTGTTATTACAAATATTACTGCAGTGAGTAATATCATACATATATCATTTTGCATACATGCAAGTGCTATCTGCAAAATGAATTCCTTGAAGATGAATTGTTGGCTCCAAGGCAAATATTTAATTTTGGCAAATATTGCAAATTTCTCTCTATAGACATTATATCAATACACATCTCCAACAACAGTATAGGAAAGGGCTTATTTCACCATATTTTTGCCAACTCACTGTGTTACCCAGCTTTGAATCTCTTCCAGTCTGGTGGAAAATAACATAGTATTGATGTTGTCGTGCTTATCATTTTGTTTTGTTTTTTAATAACAGCTATGTTGGCATATACTTCACTTATAAAATTTACCCTCTTAATCTGTACATCTCAGTAGGCCTTAGAATATTCTCAGTGTTGTGCAACCATCACCACAATATAATTATGGAATATTTTCATCTGTCCAAAAGTAATCCTGTACTCATAACAGCGTTTTTCATTCTCCCTCCCCTCTATCCCTCAGCAGCTATGAATCTACCTTTGTCTCTATAGATTTGCCAAGTCTGGAGATGTCATCATAACTGGAATGATATATCATGGGTTTTTTCACTTTGCATAGTGTTTTCAAGGTTCATTTATTGAACCTTATTGTGGTATGTATCAATATTTTATTCCTTTATGGTACTAATTTTTCATTATATGAACATACAACATTTTATTTCTTCATTCATCAATCGATGGACACAAGTTGTTGCCACTTTTTTGGCTGCTATGAATAATGCTTCTCTGAACATCTGTAAACAAGTTTATGTGGACATATGCTTTCATTTCTCTTGGATGAATACCTAGACGTGAAATTCTCAGTCATTTGTTAATTCCATGTCTAACAATTTGAAGAACTGCTGCACTGTATTCCAAAGTGGAAGCACAATTTCACAATCCTTCGATGTATGAAGATTCCAATTTTTTCTCATCTTCACCAATACTTTTTAATTTCAGACACCCTAGAGGATGCAAAATTGTATCTCATAGTGGCTTTGATTTGCATTTCTCTAGCGCTAATCATTTTCATATGGAAAATTTCACATGGAAAATGTGTTTATTGGCTGTTGACATAGATTCTTTGGCAACTATCTATTAGTCAATATTTAGTTGATTTATTTGTCTTTTCATTGTTTAATCGTAAAAGTTATATATATATATATAAATATAACTAAGTATATTTATATACACACACACACACACACACACAACTAGTATATATATACAACTAAGTATATATATTTATATACTTTTTTCTTTTTTTGACATGGAGTCTCACTCTGTCGCCCAGGCTGGAGTGCTGTGGCAGCATCTCAGCTCACTGCAACCTCTGCCTCTCAGGTTCAAGCAATTCTTGTACCTCAGCTCCCAAGTAGCTGGGATTACAGGCAAGTGCCACCACACCCGGCTAATTTTTGTATTTTTAGTAGAGACAAAGTTTTGCCATGTTGGCTAGGCTGGTCTCGAACTCCTGACCTCAAATGATCCACCTGCCTCTGCCTCCCAAAGTGCTGGGAATACAGGTGTGAGCCATCACAGCCCACCTGTTTATATACTCTTGATAGCAATCCTTTATCAGATATATGATTTTGAAACACTGTTTTTCATTGTGTGAGTTGTCTTTGTTGAAGAAACTATTCTTTTCCCAGTGAATGGTTTTGATTCTCTGGCCAAAAATTTATTGGCCATAGAGATATAGGTTTTGTTTTGGACTCTCAATTCTAATTCCTTCATCTCTTTGTTTATCCTTATCCCATTGCCATGCTGTCTTAATTTCTGTAGCTTTGTAGTAAGGTTAAAATAGGGAAGTGTGAGTCCTTCAATTTTGTTTATCTTTTTCAAGATTGTTTTGGATATTCTGGGCCCCTTGAATTTCAATATGAATTTTAAGATCAGCTTACAAATTTCTCCTCAAAAGGTGCCTGGGATTTTGATAGGAATTGTGTTGAATCCATAGTCAGTGTAGTTTTAAACTCTATCTATTCATGAATTAGGTAGAACACATTTTTAAGGCCATTTGATTTTCTTTTTCTAAAGTAAGAACTTATATATATTTGGCTCTTTTCTTGTGGGTGTCAGTTCCAGTTCTGTTCTTGCACCACTCAGATTATGTTTGGAAACAAGACTAGAGGGATGGGCATGTTTCACAAGTATATAGGAATATTGACTCGGATACACTTTTCTCTGTGATTCCCTCAAAAGGATTGGGTGCACTGGAGTTATGATAGAGAATATTTATGTTTGAAACAACCAGAACTAAGAAATTAGCTGAAATTAACACGAAAAAAAAAAACTTCACTCTTTTTATTTCCTTTTCCTCAGAAGACAAAATGGTATTTATTAAAATATCCATGGATTGAAAAATGTACCAAAATAAGTTTCCTTAAAATAGCTAGACAACTCATCCTTGAAACAAAGTCATTTCACAAGATATATAAATTTCTTCTTCATGTGTATTTTCCTATCATTATTTTTCTTCAGATGTTTTATTTTCCTGTTCTTCATGCAGATAATTTGTAGAATTCTTATCCTCCCTGTTTTGAAAGAATTTTCCTTAGTTTTGTGTATGTTGTCTCTTTCTCTTCTCTAGTATGATCTTACAATTATTTATGCTTCTCTCGTATTTTCCAATTTTCTACCTCTAATTTATAGGTCTTAAATTTAGCCCAGTCATGTCACTTGGAAGAAAATAGCTTAAGTATACAGCCATGTCTTGGTTAGAGAAATAGCTCCTGGATATGTCAAGGCCAGAAAATCCGGTGTCACCGTGAGGGCATCCAGTGACAGAAAGGGCCCACTTTCTTCATCCACTTTGTGTTGCTATAAAGGAATACCTGAGACTGGATCATTTATTTTAGAAAAGAAGTTTACGGCTTGAGAATGCCGTAGCGTGCTCAGCAGGAAGTACTTCCCCCAGCGGAAGCTGCCGAGCCTGAGAGAGCGGAAGTGCCTCCGCTTTGGGTCTCTCTGGTCTCCGCAGAAGCGAGATGGTAAAGGGAACGTCGTCGTTTGGAAAGCGTCTCGATGAGAGGAACCAGTTGTGCCACCGCTGTGGCTCTGAGGCCTACCACCTTCAGAAGTGGACCTGTGGCAAATGTGGCCACCCCGCCAAGCGCAAGAGAAAGTACAACTGGAGTGCCGAGGCTGGAAGACGAAGTACCGCCGGGACTGGTCACCCGAGGCACCTCAGGGTTGTATACGGCAGATCCAGCATGGAATCCGTGAAGGAACAACACCTCAACCCACAAGGGCAGCTGCTGCGGCAGCCCGTGCATGGTAAGAATTTCAACGATTAGTCCTGCAGTAAATGTTCTGATTAAAAAAAAAAAAAAGCAGTTTCCTTGGCTCATGGTTCTGCAGACTGTGCAGGAAGCATGGCGTAGGAATCTGCTTCTGGGGAGGGCCTCGGGCTGCTTTCACTCAGGGCAGGAGGCGCTGAGCTGGTGCGTGCGGAGATCACATGGTAAGAGGGAAGCAAGAGAGAAGGAGGTTGTCCTGGCTCTTAACAACCAGCTCTCTGGGGGAATTAACAGGGAACTCATTCATCCCCTTAACCCGGGAGGGCATTGGTCTTTCCTGAGGGATTCGTCCCCAGGACCCAAACACCTCCTATTAGGCCCCACCTGTAACATCGGTGGTGAAATTTCAACATGAGGCTTGGGAATGACACGTATCCAAACTATAGCAGCCATCTTGCATACTGATCAAGGGTCAGTGGTCCGTGATTTTGTTGCTCCCTCAACTATGCTAGGAATGAGATTATAAATATTTGAGGGTTTTTGTTTGAAATATGAAGACCTCTTATTCTGTTCACCTGGAGTGCTGAAAGGGTCCATTTTCATTCACTACAAACTGGCTCACCATGCCAACAGGTGTTACTCAATTCTTGATCACTGAAGGGCTCTCTATAGGTTGCTAAATGGCTCTGACTGTCCTTGATTTGTCCTCTAATGAGAAATGAAAAAAGGAGTGGAATTACAACATAATTAAATTCAACTCATGAGCAAGGTAAGATGACCATGCTTTTTAAGCAAGTTTGCTGTAAGAGCCTCCTGCTGTCTCTTCAAATCTGTCCGTGGGAGCCCCTCATGTTTTGCATCTGTCCAGTCTGTCTTGCCTCTTTAATGTGTGTTGTCCTGGATGGTGTCCCATCATGATTTTTGGTGACAGGCACAGTCTTGCAGAACATGGAGCTAAAGACCCCCTTGGGATATGCCATAGGGAAAGAAGTAATGTATTACCGAGCTTAAATGTGGTATTTCTGCTGGAGAATGGTATGAATGAAACTTTGTTCATTTTTATTTAACATTTTTCTCCTAAAGAGGCCAAAGAAGTCCAGCTTTATACATGTCACTGTGAATCATCTCAGCATCACTCAGAAGTGGTCCCAAATTCAGAAAAGCTTTTTAATGGTGACTTTGGCACCATTGGCAGAGAGTACTGATATTCGGCATTTCTGAGTAACCAAGTTCTCTAGGCATTTTTGTTTTAGTAGTTTCAAAGAAAAAGAGTTACTTCAGGTACAGCTGCAGCTGTTTTATCAAGAATTGAGGAAAGAAAGGAACTAACCTCTCTATAGGTCCTCTTATGTGCCAGATACTGTGCTGGATGACCAAGAGGTACTATCACATTTGATCCCATGACAGTCCTATGAACTAGGTTTTATTTTCGCCTATTTAAAATAAGAAAACTGACGGTCAGTGAGATTAAGATCACACAGCTCTAACACGACAGACATGGGCTCTGAGTCCTAGTCCAATGGGCTGTTTGTTCCCTCACATGAGTTCACTGTGCCCAGGCCCAGTTAGGACAGAGACATTCTGAGGGCAGTGCTCCGAGTCTTCCTCATGGAGCTCTCCTTTCCAGTGTGCCCCGGTCAGTTCATCAGTGCTCTTTCTGCCAGCCTCACTCAGCCTGTTAACGCGTCCAATGAACTGTTACTCAAGCTGCCCGTTTTAGTACTATGTTCTCAAAGCTAAAATGAAATGTCTCTGTCAAATGCTTTGCTGAATAATATATATTGCCTTAATATAGTCCTCATTTGACACTCTAGAGACCATATATAAAGAGGAAACGAGGCTAGTCTGGCATGAGGTGTGGTCCACGAACATTCAGTGGCTCAGTGCTTACCACTGTTCTGTTTAAGGGTTTAAAACTCATCCACGTACTGACTGGTTAAAGCCTCGTTTCCATCCTCCAATCCTCATATGTTGCTTCCTCTCTTGTTGATATCAAGCCATTCTCAGATTTTGCAGTCCATCAAACCTTTGCCTTTATTCAAGCTTCTGCGATTTGACACATTATTCCACCCACCTGAAATGCTGTTGCACTCTTCCTCCTCGTAGTCCATCTGGAAGATCCCTGATCAATTTTTAAAGACCCTGCCAAAATGTCCCCTTTTCTTGGGAAATATGCTTTCCTAACACTTTGTATGCACATTCACTTAGCACATTGCACTACAGTGCTTTACACATCTGTCCCTCCTACCTGCCTCTGCCATGGGAAAGGTTCGTTCACTCATCATCGGAGACTACCATGATGCTTGGTATTGTGCAGGAGCTCAGTAAACATTTGTTGGATTCTATGATATAATTTTCCTGTGGATGGGTTCTGGGCACCAATCCAGTTTGTACATCCATATTCTCCCTCATTTCAGGCAAATTGGCTCAATTTTACTGTCTTTTTTCTCCACCATGCTTTAAAAGTTGCTAAGGATTTCATTTCCAAATTCTCTCAGTGCTGATGGCTGGGACTGCTCTGATTCTGCTGATGACCAGCCTCGAGCACCCTTCTACTATTTCTTCCCTTATTTGAGGTCTCGGTTGCCTCTTAGAGAATTGCTTCTTCTTGTATAATGTGAAGAACACCGTATCTCAATCTAAAGACTAGGGTTTAGGTCCTGGCTCTGATTGTGTCTCGGTGTGTAACCTGGAGAAAGTAAATCCAGTTCATGAAAGCCCAGTTTCTTCATTGTAATTTGAGAGTAATCCTCTTCATTTTTCTTATTTTATTATTCTAATTATGTCATCTATCATTTTCAATCTAGACTCTCCTCCTTGGCTAGTAATTTGGAAACCGAATAGGAGATGAGTTCCTCTGTGGTTTTTCACCTTCAGGGATAAAGAGTCCTGCCATCCGGCCGCTGGAGCTCTGCTCCCATAAGTTGCCTGTTAAGAGCCCAGGTGTGGCCTGTTCTTGCTATGCCTTGCCCTCTTATGGGCACACTGCCTCTCTTATCTCTCATGGTGTCATTCGGATCCAGTCACCTGGCCTGTTTTTACACTCTGGACACCACACACTACCTGCTGGATGGACTGTTTTCCAACATTGTAGCTACAGCTGCTCCCAATATCTGCTCCACAGAAATGGTGGTTAATTTCTAGGCCACTGTATCTCTTGATATGGACAACGTGACCACTGCCAGACTCTCTTTCCAAATACTTCATTTGCCTTGGAACAAAAAGATTTTCACAGCAGAGCAAGACAAGGCGGATAATAGACATTTTGTTTTATGATCAAGGAAACTGAGACTCAAAATGGTCAGCTTACTTGCCCAGTGCTACTTTGACTTTAAGCAGTGAGATGGGCCAGAGCTCAGACATTTTGACACCTTCTCTAGTGGTGTTTCATTATGTCAAAAGGGCAGGAAGAAGTCTCATTTTTGGTATTCCTTCACAAACATTATACCACATCTCATTCATAATATGTGCTCAATTAATTTGCTCATTAATTAAAAAGTATGTGACATTTAAAAATTGGGTAATTTTGGAAAAACTCAAGATCAGAATTTAAACATTTCAACTGGGAGGAGTGAGAAATAAACTCATGATGAAGACAAATCTTAATTTTTACTTCTTTTTTTTCTTTATCAACTCTCTGACATTAGTATGGAATTTCTAATTAGCAGAGAAAGCCACAAAATGGACGAAAGGATAGTGAAAGTGAAGCATAATTCATTAATGAGGGCACTGTGCTGTAAATAGTTGAGAGCTGATCACAAACAAGAAGATATTTCTTTAAAACTTGTCATTTGGGGTAAGATTTCCCAAACTATTTTACTCTTTTTTATGCAGCTTATATCAATCTTAAATCAATTATCTCCTAAAATGCCAATGTAGCATTGTGAACAACATAATCCCTTTAACATTGTTCTCATGTCTGTACTTGCCCCTGTGTCCCTTAGAATTCTTTCACACAATAAAAGCCTCAAATTAATAAAGTGCTTCTCTTAGAAAATTAAAATGCTTTCTCCATGTTACCATTTAATTACATCTCAAAGCATTCCTCTGTGAAGTGGGTGTGTGTGTTAGGAAGAGGAATTAGTCTTTCCCATTATGCCACATAGGAAACAGCTTGGAAGAGTAGTTCCATCCACAGGGGAACTTGATGCTAATTCATTCTGGTTCAATGTTGTTGACTGGGTTCTTCTAGTATACCCAGTGTTTCAAACAGAATCACGCTAATGCACTCATTCACCCAGTAAATCAGCACATAATTACTGGATGCCTACTACATATCAGATTCTGTTCTAGACATTGAGGATATGGCAGTGTGAACAGAAGAAGAAAAATCTCTAACCTTATGGAACTCAATTTTTCTAGGCTTATGGAACTCAATTTTTCTAGGAGGAGACAGACATCAAACATAGTAGGTAAATTGTATAGTATGTTAGAAGGAGAGAAATGCTCTGAAAGGCAAGTAAATCTGTATAAGGAGAAAGCAGAGTGCAGGGAAGGTACATAGTTTTATATAAGGTAGATAGAGTAGCCCTCCCTGAGAGGATGCCATTGGCGCAAGAGCATGCAAAGCAGAGGGATCGGCCAGTGCTAATGCCTGGAGGTGGCAGCATGCTTGGAATGTTTACAGAATCCCGAGGGCAGTGTGGCTGGAACAGAGCAAATAAGATGTAAAGGAACACAAACTGAGGTCAGATGTGGCAGCAGAGTGTTCAGGAAGGGACTTGTTGGCATTTTAAAGGCTTCTTGCCCTTTATGCAGCATGGGGTGTTTTGGTAGATTTTAAGTAGAGAAGGGCCATGATCACTCTGGCAGCTGTTTTGAAAATAGACATAGATGGGAAGGGATGCAAGCAGAGACCAGTTAGAAGGTCACTGCCTTCAACCAGGAGAGATTCAATGGTGCCTCAAAGCAGGGAGGAAACAGGAGGTATTGAGAAGTGACCGGATGCTGGATACAAGTTTTTTTTGTTGGTTTTGTTTTAGAGATGGAGTCTCGCTCTGTCGCCAGGCTGGACTGCAATCTTGGCTTATTGTAACCTCTGCCTCCTGGGTTCAAGCGATTCCCCTGCCTCAGCCTCCTGAGTAGCTGGGACTACAGGTGCGTGCCACCACGCCCAGCTAATTTTTTGTAGTTTAGTAGAGACAGGGTTTTGCCATGTTGGCTAGGATGGTCTCCATCTCCTGACCTTGTGATCTGCCTGCCCTGGCCTCACAAAGTGTTGGGATTACAGATGTGAGCCATGCCCAACCTGAATACAGTTTTTACGTAGATCCAATGGGACTTGCTGATGGAACTGCACGTGAGCTGTGAGAGAAAGGAAGGACTCTTATTTTCGGAATGAGACTGGGAGCTCCTTGAGGACAAAACTCACCTGTTTTATTTCTTTATGATCTTCATAGAAACCTGAGAAGGCTTCATGGACAATAAATACATGACTAAGTTTTTGTTAAATGAAAAAAGGAAGGAAAAAGCAAGTCTATATCAATAGACTTGGAATTCCTGTACTCATAATGATTTGTAAAAATAGACACTATTTCCTGAATTTCCAAAAAATGTTAAAAATTGACTATTTTTCTCAAGGCTAAAAAAAGAAACTGAAGCTAAAAAAAACTTTAAATGTCTTTATTTGAGCTGCAATTCATTACCTTGATGAGGTAACAGGATTTTTATCTGCTGTTTTGAAGTACTGTATTATTACCATTTAATCTGCTTGACAAAAATATTCATAAAATACAGGCTTAAAAGAAAAATAGTAAAATGCTGTGGATATAATGATTGGGAATCACATATGCACATGGTTTTTAAAGAAAGAAACAAAACAAAACAACGCTCCATTCTTTCTTTTTTTCTTGTTTACAGCATAAAGGTCTGCATTATCTAGAAAGCAAGCACAAAAGAGAATACATTAAATCTTATGATGGATTTTTTGAAGATGGTATAGTCTAATTCACTAAGTTTATATTCGAAAAACATCAGTCATCAAAACATTAAGGTGATAGACATAATTTTGTTTCTAATGCACAGTAACACAAATTCTGAGTTGTCTAATGAGGCTTAACAAATAACAGTAGAAAATTGTGAAATATGCTATTTCTTGAATCTTCCTTCTTGATATTTGCTTGGCAACGGTAATTAGCCACAAACAATCTTGAGTCATAACTGCCCAGAGAGCACGGTGAGAGGTAGGTTTGTGGAGGGATGGAAGATGAGGGAGAGAATAGAACGAGAGGCACCTTGATGGGGGAACGCTAGCTTTTTTTAAACTCATACTGTTGCTAGGAGGCATTTGTGCATAATTTTTCACAGGGCTTTACAGTCACACACAGGCATATTTGAGTCAAAGCTTTGATATTTAGAAGGTATCTGACCATGGCCAGGTTTCCTAACTAGAACAGTGGTATTTACCTTATAGGGTAAATTTTGTCAGCTATGGTAAGATTATTTGTAATATGGTTAGAGATAGCAGAAATTCAATATGTGGTATTATTATGTCTAGTAATTTTCCCAAGGGGTTTCAGCATTTCCTGCCTTTGCATTGGAATAGAAACTCCTTCACCCTTCCTATAGCAGATATTCTGCTTGTCCTTAAAGAGCCCAATTTGAATGTCAGTCTCTCCTTCAGTAGCTCATACACTGTCATTCAGTTTTTCACTTACATGTAGCTATTTGTTTCAAGATCTTCTCTACCTAAGTTGGATTTCCTGGAATAGTGAAAAGAACCCAGAAGACTTGGATTTGAGCTCTGCTAGCCACTCTTGCAGAAAGTGGAACCATTATGAACGTAATGGAATAAGGGATGTATTGTAAGAACTTACACAATTGTTGAGAAAGTTATTTTCTAGAAGAAGGAATTCAAAGATCTGAGAAAAGTCACTAATGGATTCCCTGAGGTCCTTGTGTGGATGGGCAAGTCAGAGCTTTCAGGGGAATCTGGTTGGCCCGCTGCATCCAGGAGGGGCACAGTGAGAGAAAGCTGAAAGAATACTCAGTGAAAAGCTTTTGTCTGCCTGGCTACTGCCTCTTTGAATCCATGTTAAGGCCCTTGTGATGGGTGTGTGGCTACTGTTGATCAGCTGTGCTGGAAATTGGGAAGATTGGGTGTGAAGCTGGGGAGAGCCGGGATATGCCAGAACCTTCTCTGCATGTATTATCACAGCAAATACAGAGACCTTGAGAGAGGAATAGAGACTGTTTCACTCTGTTTACCAAATCTTGTACAAATTCCTCCCTGGACAACGGTACTCATATGCATACAGGCAAGAGGATCCTGAGAAACTTTGTTCCAGCTAATGAAGTCGACAGCGTACAAACCACAACTGCCACTTTTTGGCTATATTGGTTGTATTGGGAAGTTAACCCAACCTTTCTGATCCTCTCCTTCCCTATTGTTGTGTTGATGTAAAGGGGATAACTATTATAACTACCTCTATAGGACCGTTAGTAAGAATTAAATAAGATAATGTAAAAATCCATTACAGAATACATGGCTGGATGTGGTGGCTCATGCCTGTAATCCCAGCACTTTGGGAGGCCAAGGTGGGTGGATCACCTGAGGTCAGGAGTTCAAGACCAGCCTGGCCAAAATGGTGAAACCCTGTCTCTATTAAAAATGCAAAAATTGTCCAGGCATGGTGGCACACACCTGTAATCCCAGCTACTCAGGAGGCTGAGGTGGGAGAATCACTTAAATCTGGAGGTGGAGGTTGCAGTGAGCCGAGATCGCACCACTGCGCTCCAGCCTGGGTCACAGAGCAAGACTCTGTCTCAAAAAACAAACAATTAAAAATACAAAAGAATGTATCAGACTACTCTTACTAGATACATCCATTCATGTCATTAATGTATGTTTATTGTGCATCTGCTATGCCCTAGCAACTTTATGCCTAGGATACAAGGCAGTGGCAATAGCTTTGTAATCTTAAAGCTGAATGAGACATAAATTAGAAATTTAAGTTGAGATGTAAAGTGAGCACTTGATAGACTGGATTTCAGGGGATAGGTCCACGTTAAAAATATACATTTGGAAGTTATTAGTGTTAAGTAACGAAACACTGAAATGTATGAGACTGAATTAGGTCACTTTAGGTAAAGTGCATGTCTGAGATTCGAGACATTTCAGAATTTGGGGGTCAGAAAGATAAAGAAGAACAAGCAATAAGGGTGAGAAAAAGCAACCAGCAATACAGAAAGAGAAATAATAGAGAGTGGTGTCCAGGTTTATTTATGCTGAAAAGTCAATTTTTACGACAGCTGAAAATTGACTATCAGCTTAGCACCATGGAGGTCATTTAACAAAATGGAACAGGTTCAAGATGGAGTGGAAAGAAAGATTTTGGCATAAAGGGAAGCAGGAAAGTAAGGTGGCAATAAGTGGAAAGGGTGTCGAGATATTTTATATATATATGTGTGTGTGTGTGTGTGATTGGCTCTATACTGTTAGTTGGCTGTTGAGAATGATCCATCAGTGCTGTGCTTGGGTACAGATTTCTATGACAGTGGAACTTTTACCCAGAGATGCAAAGAAGGAGAAACCTGCTTCCTTCAGGTGGTTCTCTCTTAAGAGGAAAACGGTCAAACTGAGGGAGCATGCCCAGTAATATTTGCAAATTTATTAATCCAAGTCACTCAAGTCGCATCAACTTCTCAGGAGTAGTAGACTGAGTAAAAAGGAAGAGGGGGGCTTAAAGCGGGAGAAGTAGATTTCAGGGAGAACAAGAATGTTAAATAAATATTTAGAGATGCTGAAAACAAAGAGAATTTTGCTGAAGATTCTAAGTTCCAGAGGATACAGTGGAAAGATGTTGGAAGTTTACACATCTTTGTATACAGTGGGAGACAGGTCAGACCAGAGTGTATGTAGTTTGGGACAATATTTCTCCTGCAGTACTTGGAACAGGAGATTTAGAGAAATATTTGCTCCTTGAGAGAAACCTGACAAGACCTGCATGTGGCTGGGGAAATACACTGGTCCACAGGGCCCCCTGTTTCAGTAGCAGTGCTGATCTGCCTAGACCAGGGGGTGAGGAAGGGCTGACCTTGATTATCTTCTCCCTCTGTCCCTCCCTCTCCTCCACACCTAGCCCAGCAGAGGAAGGAAAACTAGATTTACAGTTGCCCAGCCCTTCCTCTGGAAGCAAAGGTTGCTTTACTACCACCAACGCAAAAGTGATTTGTCTCCTTCATGTCGTTTTAATCCTTGCAGAATTATTTGTGGCAGCAATGTGAAGGAGGATTAGCCCCTCAGACCCTCTTTGAAAATTGCTAGTGGACAAGGGCAGTGAGCAAGAGGAAAGTTCCTCTGAGCATCTTGTGTTAAAGAGAGAAGCCAGGCCCTGGAGATATTCCTTCAGTTTCACAAGTGGCAAGATTTTCACCCCTGGTTGGCAGCTTTCAAATTGGTTCCCATTTCTCCAACTTAGGAAGAAGCTGTGAAAGCCGCAGGCAAGCGGGGATGAATGATTCATTTGGTCCTGGCCATTTCCTTCACTACTGGGATGTCTCAGTATCTATCCACTCTGCTATTTGAGCATAATAATAATAATAATAATAAATTATCTACTTCTCTAGGACATTCAGCGGAGTCGTTAGGCACGTGATGAAATCTCAGGTTTCACGGGGCTCCATCCACCCATCCATCCGTCCATCCGTTCACTCGATCACCCACCTGCCCACCACCCACCCTTCCATCGCGAAGCCTTCCTCCCTTTCCGGCTTACACTGGGCGTTAAACTCCGGTCTCTCCAGGCCTCCGGCGCACGTACACACGCGCGGGCGGGCGGGGTGTGCGGAAGCGCGGGCCACGCCGGGGGCAGGACTGCAGCCTCCCGCGGGGCGCGAGGGCGGGGAGGCCGGGGAGGCCCGGGCGGCGTGGCGGCGGCCGAGCCGAGCCCATCCGAGCCGGCACCTTCGGACGCCCCTGTCCCACGTGACCGTCCCTCCTCCCTCCTCGCAGTCGCGCGCACGGGCCGGGCATCTCGACTCCCGCGCGCGCTCGGCGGGTCCCAGTCCCCGAGAGAAGAAGCGGAGGAGGGAGCGAGCCGGCGAGGCAGCCCAGGGGAGCTGGCGCGAGTGGCGGCTGCCGGAGCCGCCTGTGCACCGGCGGCAGCGAGGCCAGGCGAGGCGAGGGTGGCGGTCGCCCGAGCGGTGGGAGCCGGGGCGGCGTGGAATCCGCATCCGCCGCGAGTGTGATGAAGCTGCCCTGCCTTGCTGCTCCGCTCGCCGCCAGCTGACACCGCCCGCATCCAGCCCGCCCGGGAGGGGAGACGCCGTGGGGCCGTGACCTTGGCGGAGGAGGTAAATAGGGGAGGCGGGCGGGGAGAAGGCAGCGCCCCCCCCAGAGCCCTCTCGACCCCCGCCCGCACCCAGCCCTCGCTCTGCGCAGCGGGAGCGTCCGCGGGCGCAGGGCGGCCGGCCCCGGGAACCCCGCGCCGGGGCAGGGCTCACGGGCGCTGCGCGCACCCCGCGGTCCGTGGTGCTGAAACTGCCTCCCGGCTCCGGCGGCCGCCGCGGCGCGGGGCACAGCCGCGCCTGCCATTTGCTGCTGCCGGGAGAGCGAGCCGGGGGAGCTGGGGCTTGCCTGTCTTCTCTGCGCTTCGGCTGGTGGCTCTGGAGGCTTCTGCACTTAGGCTTTTACCCACGGTGCCCCAGGTAATTGCCTGCAGGCTTGACCTCCCGCTCGTTCTCGTGGCCGGGACAAATTCTGGTGTCTTCTTGCAAAAATTAGGCAGGATTACCTCCTGACTTCCGAAGCGAAGTGGGGAGAAAGGAGAGCAGCCGGTGGCTGGCAGCGCAGTCAGGTGGAAGTAGGCGAAGCATATACTCTGGGTCTGTGTGGGAGACCCGGGGGAATAGAGAGGAAACCCATGCGCTGGAGAAGGACTCCGGGAATGGGCCTCTCCGATGTGCTGCATGTGGGGACGCTAGACAGATACCTGGGAGAAAGTGTGCTACCCTGCCCCCCACCCCCATTCCTCGGTGTTGTCCTGCCCTTTTGGGAAAACATCACCAAGTGCAGATGCAAGTATTGGGAGAGAAAAGAACTCTCTGTACTAGGGAAATGCTAACCATGAGTGTTTAGGGTGAGCATCCAACACTTCTCAAAATGAGTATTCAGAAAATGAAGTCAGCTACGACGATAACCAAATGGTTTTTTCTCCCCGTAGACTGTAGTTTCTTACAATTCCTTAAGGATATTGTAGGTGTAAACTCATTTTTTAAAAAAATCTATGTCCTGTGTCACTTTCTCCAGCCAGCCCCAGTTTGTGAGAACGCTTTATGTGGGGTGGGTGCTGTGAATGATGATGAATCGGGGGGGTCCCTTAAGTGCTACCACTGGGATCTCACAGAAGTCTCTTTAACCCTTTGCAGGGCAGACTGATAATTCCTGTATCTGAGAGTGGACCAAGTTTTGGGTGACATGGCGCAGGGGAATAATTATGGGCAGACCAGCAACGGGGTGGCCGATGAATCACCCAACATGCTGGTGTACAGAAAGGTAAGTGTGTCTTCATGTCTTCAGTTTCTTGGAAAACAGGAAACTTCTGGCTTTCTTGATTTTTTTCCCTCTAGATCAGAGTATGTGTCAACTTTGTGGCCTTGTGGATTCCCCAAATCATCAATGATTACGTGGTATATACGTGAAAGTGATCTGATATTCTCAAGTGATGTGTACGTGGAGAAACACAGTGAAGTAAATGAGGCCTCACATGTTCCCTGCTGGTTTTGCATAGATTATTCTGTCATGAGCAATAACAGCAAGTTTGGGCATTCCAGATATTTTGGTTGTTACACACATAATTTAATAGCATCCATAATAATTTTAGAAGCTTTTTCTTATACTCCCCTCTAAACATTTATGTTATAATAATTACATAAGCGAATCACATTTCAGAAATAAAAAGAGACCACTTTGCAGTTCTGTGGCAAGAGAAAATGTGTTTATGTAAATGTATGTGGTTTAATAATTTTGCTCTTGACTAAACAATTCTAGTTTTTTTTTTGTCTTAGCCTAAATTATTTTTTACTTTCTGTTATTTTTATGTTTTGGGGTATTTACAGGTATTTATATTGTAGTGCCATATGCCTGTTAAATCATTAAATAATATTTGTCTTCCAGAGTTGCTTTTCTTTTGGCCACAAATAGATTTGACAGCTTTATAGAGTCTATTGCAATGCTGTCAGCAACAAACTTTTTGACACTGAGCAACCATAATAAAGATGGATTTGAATATTTCATGTGCTTTCAAGTGGTTGCTTAGGTTATCATCAACAATCTTACTAAAATTAGGGATGCAGTATTCTTCTGCACCAATCATTTTTATTGCATTGTATAGATGACTTTTTAAAGTATATTATCTGGAGTGCTTATTAGGCAAGATTTCTTTAGTCAACACTAACAGTTGTTAAAAAGGAAGTAATGCTTTGAAACACCCCAAATTGTTACAGGTTTTAATTAGAGAGAGCCCATTGAAGAGTTCAGGATACTTGCATTTATTTATTTTTAAGCAAGAGGATCAGAGCTGTTTATGAATAAAGATTAAAGAGTATGTGCTACTTTAACCTGCACTAAATCAAAACTTTTCACCCATGTAGCCATTCATAGGAATATTGCTGTGGCTTTAATGGGAATAAAACAGTTAGCATCCCGGCACAATGCTAACTGTTTTATTCTCTAGCCTTGGTGAACAGCACTACATTGTGTACCTATGAATGCATTTATATGTGCCTGAGATAAAACAGTATGATAGGAAAGATAACTCAGGACTCAGTTGTCTGTATTAGTCTTAAAGCATTCCAACTGCATAAATCAGGAAAATAATCCAATTGCATTTTAATTATTAGCATTGTATTTTTAAGTTGATTGAAATGACTGGATACTTGTCTATTCTATTTAGAGTTGGTTTTGAAAAGAAATATTTTGGGGGCAATTGGGTGGTTTTAAAGAAGTCATAATTTGTATTGTTTGGTAAGACTGAATATTGTAATATGCAAGCCAACTTTTAATGTGAAGAACAACAAAAGAATTTTGAGTTCTATTTTATGGGTGTATTATAGTAGTAAGCTATTTCTGTTAGGCTGAACAATTGGATTCCCTCTCTGTTTCCCTTTAAAAGATTAAGGGCTGAGTAGACCGGATACCTAGTAGTTGTCTTCATTGGAAACGAACTAAATATGCAGCAACTAGTGTGTGTCATTCAGTCAGTTATTTTGAGAACAATAAAGTAAGAAGACAGGGATTTTAGAAATAGTATCTGACTGTTTAGTGCACCTGAGCCTCTGTTGCCAATTTTGAGTTTAATCAAATCCCCATTAATTCTACTTTTAAGTGATCAGACTGTAATAATTTCGAGAATGCACTCCCTCATTTTTTAAAGCGTTATTACTTTGTCGGTTCAGCTTGGAACTGCCTGTGCTACTCATTTTTCCCTTCCTTTGTTAGCTGTTTGCTTAGGGTTAGTGATCACATATAATTTACTTTTCAAAGAAAGATTTTCCTGATAAATCATTCTTGGAAAAAATAACTCCTTTCGGTAAATTTTACTCTTAATGCTTACCTGTGGATTGTCTGTCTATTCTTGTGTTCTCTGAGCATATATTTTTTTGTTTTTCTTTGTGATAGAAATAACAGTATATAAATATCAGGGAATGTATAAAGAGACACAGAGTCCTTGCTTGTCATTTGCTAGGTATCAAGTCAAACGGTCTATGTCTGTGTGTAGACATAGATTGTGACATCACAAATTTTATGTGTCCATTATCCTTCTATGTTTTGTATCTTATATGGGCTTTCCATTCAATATCTTCTCAGTAGAGCCAACTTTTAATGTGAAGAACAACAAAATAATTGGAGAGGGGTGTTGGTTGAATATGTGTGTTAGGATATTTCAACTGCTCCACCTTCATAAAAGAACAAACACTAGATTGTAATGTTTATTAGTCAGGAAGTCCATCAAAGACTTAGAAAAGGACTTCAGTTCCAATAAGACATTGCTTAGTAACAGTGGAGAGAAAGGATAGGGAAATTGCTGTTCTAGCGACTCATGCTTGTTTTCCCTTTCTACTTCACTGTTGAAGCATACCTCTTGACAGTGTGTTCTGAACTGGCAGCATTCATTTCCCTCCCCGTGACACCTCCTGTTTACTTATTGCTTATGACTCTGATGATTTGCACACACTCAAGATACGCATGTGCTGTTTCCATTTTATCTTTATAGGCTATTGGTTTCCAAAGTGGAATACAGAGAAAAGCTGGGATGTGTGAATTTCTTGTGTGTGTTTGATGTCTCTCTCATTATCCTCTTACAAATTACAGGAGTTTTTCCAAATCTCAGAAAATTCTGGGGATCTTTTTTTTTTTTTTTCTGTGGGGAAGTCCATAGGGATCTTATGGGAAAAAATGTACAGTGGATAAAACTCTGATTGTTAAGGTAGAGTGGATGTCACCATATTGAAGGGTACAGGTGACAGTAATGCTGCTTCATGATCTGAATTAGGGTTGCTGCTTGCAAATCAGTCTCAGATGTTGGCCAGTAGCTTTTTGGCATAATACAGGGAGTCTCATTTGATGTCAGAGATACATTTAAAAAATACGTATGGGCAAAGTATTTGCCTTATCAATTCTTCTATTGAGAATGCTGTCTTTTTCATAAGCAGGTGATTAAATCACGATGGTTATGTTGTTTTATGTACTTGACGACATCTTATTTAAAAGCACATAAACTTATGAGACTTGACTGCTTTTATTCCTGGCACTTTTTAGGCTTCCTTCAGGCAGGACCTTAGCCGGATTAGAACTAGAAGTATCAACTTCCTTAAGAAGAGACCTGACTAGCTCCAACAAGTGTTGGATTCAGAGCAGCTTCTTGAAGAATCTGTAGAGGTGACAAGTCAGAACTCAATGTTACTTGGTGTTGATGGATCTTAAACACTATCCCCTCTTTTGGACGGCTTTGGACAAAACTCTCCTTTGTGGGAATGGCACTGGCCGTAAAGAACAACTGAGTACAGGGAGAGACATTCCAGATTTGGTGTCTGGCCAGCATGCTGTCCACTAGACAGTATACATCACTTTTAGTCCAGCAGCCGACATTCCTGCATTTGAAAAACAAACTCTCTAGGGCACCTTGGGGCCAGTGCTTCACATTGGCTGGAATGCTGGCTTCTCACTAGCAGGACTCCTCAAAATGTTAATACTTTCTGATATTATTACAGCAATCATTTATGCTCAAGCTGTCAGAAAAGAAAATGAAAATGTTTTTCCTCATTCATTATCTTACTGCAGTAAACATGGCTTTGGAAATAACAAACTTATCAAGTTCACTCTTCCTCCCCCTCCTCCTTCCCCTCATCTTTCTCCTACTCCTGTTCTTTCCTCCATTCTATTCTCCTGTCTCTTCATCCTTATGTAGTTGCTTGCTTTGCATTTGTTTGCTTTTAGTTTTTCTTTTCAGACTTACGGTTGAAGACATAATTTGCACTGTTTATTTATTGTAAAGGAGAAAGCAACGTCTTTGCAAGAAGTGAATAGATGCCAGCCTTGTTACCTGTGAAGCTCAGGACCTGGATAAATCTTTCAAATATGGTATCGTGGTGGTAGTGGCAACAGGTTATTATTTTAGGGTTAAGATTGCTCCATTCTGTTTTTTTTTTTTTTTTAAATCAGGGTCTTGCTCTGTTGACCAGACTGGAGTGCAGTGATGCAATCATAGCTCACTATAACCTTGAACTCCTGCGCTCAAGCTATCCTCCCACCTCAGCCTCCTGGGTACCTGAGACTACAGGTGGGTGCCACAATGCCTGCCTAATTTTTTTTTGTTTTTTGTTTTTCTAGAGATGGGGGTCTCACTATGTTGCCCAGGCTGGTCTTAAACTCCTGGGCTCAAGCGATCCTCCCACCTCAGCCTCCCAAACTGCTGAGATTACAGGTAAGAGCCACAGCACCCAGCTATGACTGTTCCATTCTTGCAGAGCAAGACAAGACCACTGGCTTTCCTTACATGATGTCAAAATGCGAGCGGTCACCCAACCAGGAAGAGTATTTATGCAGATTGACTTGATCTAAACATTGTCTTTGAAAGCTACTTCCAAAGTCAGTGTGCTTTGTGAGAGGAGACGTACTTCCCAGAAAGAGGAGCGGCTTGATTTCTTCTTTGGAAGAGACTGGGCCACAGACATTCCTAGTCTCTTAGTGGTGAGCTAGCTGACATTTTCTATATTAACTCAGTGGATTTGTCAGTACAGGATTGCCCATCTGGTCAACCTTGAGGGTGTTGATACTTCTTGCTTAAATCCCCATTTTGAAAAATAATATTTGACTTTCCTTTTTATTTTTGAGATGGGGTCTCATTACGTTGCCCAGGCTGGTCTTAAACTCTTGGGCTCAGGTGATCCTCCTGCTTCAGCCTTCTGAGTAGCTGGCATTGTAGGCATGTACCACAGTGCCTAGTTGATCTTTAATATTTTCAAATTTTCGTTTTCTTAATCCGCCTGTGTTTA